ATCCATAGACAAAATACATCCCTCCATAGCCGGTTTCAACTAAATGCATGATCTTTTCATATACAACACGTTGAAACCTTGAAACAGTCTCTGTGGGGGGAGACTGTCTCTCGTGTTCTTCATGCATCAAGTAAATGTGTGTTAAATGGAAAATTGGATATTTACCTGCTTTAACACTACCAAACAACTTATTACGCTGCAAGTCATTGAAACAATTGACGAAAGAACATGATCTTTTCATATACAACACTTGTCAAACCTTGAAACAGTCTCTCGTGTTCTTCATGCATCACTTGACGATCATATAAGAGCTCTTCTTGAACTAATCTACTTAAATAAGTATACAAATGTGTGTTCTTCATGTACTTAAATAAGTATTTAATGGATCGAGATTGGTTGCACCACTCGAAATTGATATGCCCACCATATTTCATCAACAAAAACCGATTGTGTTGAACTACAAATCGATTGTCCAGCGGAACTTTATTTTTCTCAATAGTTTGTCCATCATCTCTTCTCCTATAAACCGGATATCCATCACCATCAATCGTTGTGACATCGCACCAAGCTTTAGGGAAATGCTTAGTACACTTATTATTAACCATACATGGAGCTGACTTAGCATATATACCGCACGGGCCATGATCATAAAATCATGAACTGCATTGTAATATTGTGGGTCCTCATCTTTATCAGGAATCTCTGCTGAAATAAGCCTATCAATGTCAGATGGTGTTGGAAACTTATCCTCACATTCCATCCATAATAGTATGTGTGCATGTGGCAACCCTCGCTTCTGAAACTCAACGGTATAAACTCAACGGAAATTTTTTAATTTCTTTATTTTATTAAAAAATTATAATTTAATTTTTCCCTCATAAATAAACAGAATCAGCCAATAAAGTCACTTCACCACAACTTCATAAACCTCATAAACTGGGCTTCTTAATGTAATAACAATACCAATTTTTTTTCAAAATCAGCCAATCATTGCAGCCCATTAATTTCCAATATATTAAATGGGTCCAAAAATAAACATCTATCCATTAGAAGTCCAGCCCATCCCATCTTATACCCGTTAGAATGCATGATCGATATATTCGATACCATCCCTAGGGCTTCTCTTACGCTTTTACACCGCCTCATTGCCTACCATTCTGCATCTAACCTACCGCCCTCAGTCCTCTCCCTCGCATACCAATCTCTCTCACACATACCACCAGACCCCTCGCCTACTCCTTCCAAGGACGCAGTCATCAATTTGCTTCCAACTGTCGGATGTCACGCAGTCTTCTTGGATTCCATCAACTGCGTTCCCATCGTTGTTGCACCGGTAAGTTTGGATTCGGTTTCCATATACAAAATTTCCTAGTTTCACAATTTCCGTTTCCGATTGATTACTCATTTTAATTGTTTCGTATGTGTTTTCAAGTTGCAATCAAATTCATTCAAACCAGTTGAAATATCTACGCCATGAACAACCGCAGCCTATCAAGATTCTTTCGCAAAAGATAAGTTTCTTGTGATTCATGGATTGAATATTTGTTTATTACTTTTAATCAAATTAGATCTAACTTTCTGGTAAATGTTGTTTTCAGATCTAGAAGTGCTAAAGATTAAGCCCTCATTTATACGATCAACACTAAATAGTGTGCATACCTACGCCACCACTTGGAAGATAAGTATTTTGTTTAGGGAAAAATTTGATACTTGTCTGGTTAATTGTGTTTGTCACTAGTGCAAAATCGTTAATCAGAGGCGCTTCAAATGGCTCACGTGCGGCGCTTTGAAGCGCCTCTAAAAAATGTGCCGCAAATCTCAATTGGAGGCGCTTTTTTGACTGGAAGCGCCTCTAATATTTAAAAAAAAAAATAATTTCGGAATTTTGCGGCGCTTCTTATAGAAAAAGCGCCGCACGCGTGAGTGAATCAGAGGCGCTTCTAACCTTAAAAGCGCCTCCAAAATGTGCTACGTAAAATGAATTAGAGGCACTTCTAACCTTAAAAGCGCCTCCAAAATGTGCTACGTAAAATGAATTAGAGGCGCTTCTAACCTTAAAAACGCCTCCAAACTTGGCTCCAAAATTCTGTTTTAGAGGCGCTTTTTTCACAAAAGCGCCTCCAAATTTTATTATTATTTTTTATATTTTTTTTAAAATACTATATAACCTGTTTTATTTACAGATCCATTGTCAACCAAAAAAACACATTCATTCATTCATAAAACCAGAATAACGATAAAATCGTTTCGCGCAAATACAATTCAAAAGGTACAAATTTGTATCACAATATAATAAAACTACATTCAAGTTTGACTCAGTTCTCATGTCATAACATTTCATCTACAAAAAACCTAGCCCATACTTTTCTAATGTCATCAAACTCCTCCGTTGTATATGGCTCAGTTCTTGAATTCCAAACCTGAAAGTAATCATAAAAATATAGATAAAATAAGTAATGACAAACTAAATTATACTATCGTATATAAGTTAAATGATTTAATGAAATCCACCTATTGAAGTATATATAATTTAAATACCTGTGCAATATCTGAACTTCCAACAGAAGTTATTATTTCCCAAATAAACTTCATCACATAATATCCACATTCTGTGTTGCCCGTTTGTCTTGCACACTATATATTAGATGACAAATATACATTATTATTTTATAATATGATTTTTTTACATAAAAACATAACTTATGTAAATAAGAGAAGATATATGATGAAAGTACCTTCATATTATGCCATTTGATCGGCTTGCCACGACCCTTTTGTGTAGACGCAACTCTATACATCCTATAATGATAATTAAGCTCAATGTGTGTATATATATATATATATATATATATATATATATATATATATATATATATATATATATGCTCAATGTTGACATACAAGTATAAATGTTAAATATAAATGTTAAATATCACAACTAAATCATTAAAAATACATACATCGTAAGATCTTTTTGAATAGACATATTGGAATAACTTGGCAATGAATTGAAAATGTAGCCCTTATCAACCTTTGGACAAATTACAAACAAAACCCAATGATACCTATATTTCCAAAGAGAATAGAAAATGGGTTAATATTTCATATGTCACGATCAATAAATATAATATGTAAAAGTGAATGTAATATATGAATCATACCCTTCATTATATGCCAAGAAAATGATATTCTTTTCAAACATTTCAGTCAGAGCATGCTTCATGTAAGTCAGTGTGCCCTTTTTATCCAATTGATAATACTTAAAAGAACAAATCCAAGGACACAAAAGACCCACATCATCACGACCAAACTCAATCAGTTTTGCATTTACACAACTACATGCATGTGAAATTATAATATTAATAATTAGTCAATAGTAATTAAGTCTAACAAATATTCAAGAGTGCTTGTAAACTTATTATAATACTTACAGCATAAAGGTCTGAATAATTGAAAGATCAACAGAATCACTCTCAAGAAATTGACTCAAGTCGTCACGGTCAACAACGGTCCCAAATTGGTTATCATCAATATAACAGAACAACTCCGCAGGAAGAGGAATAGAAAACTTACAAAGATCGGGCTCATACCACTCAAGATTTTCATGCAATCTTAAAAGATCATCTGTAAGTGAATGAAGAACAGTTTCACTGACCAATGAATGTGAGCTGGGTTCAACCGTTACTTTTGGTGAATCTCTCACGATAAAGGGTACTTTTTTCTTAGCTCCATCCTTCTTTTTTGACTTAGACGGTGGTTCCTAAAATAATTATTACATAAAAATGTATGAAAGAATTTCATATCGAAATAAGCAACAAAAGTAAAAAAAAATGAAACAATAACTTCATTACCTCTCCCTCAAAAAAAACCAAATGAGATGGCCATTGAACATATGAACCTACATCGTCTGCTACAACATTCATATCAGCGGCTTCATTAGGATAAAGCAATGGACAGTCTTCAAACTCTCGATATGCCATACATATGTTCACTTTGATTGTGTTTTCACACATCGGTACATTATGGATTAACGACCCAACAGGCGTGTTGTAGGCTACAGCCATGGCCACAAAGTCCAAACTCTTATCACCAGGATAAGTGTGTGACTCAACAGCAAGCCTACAAGATGCACCATCCTGCATGTATGTATGTACACATACAAATGAAAAATAAAACATTTTCTACATAAATAATTAATAAAATGTTACTTACAATGAATGTTTTTTTAAGATGGGGTGCAGCAGAGTTCATAGTATCCACGTGGGCCACCTCGGAAGCAGGCATTGAATCCCCGATAGGCACTTCACTTCTTGGAACAAAGTAATGTTGCATGTCTTTCATCAAACGCTCTTGCAACTGCTTTAGGTCAACATCACTCAAATTACCAACCTTATCTCGATGTGTGCTTCTCGACTCTCGATCAAAGATATGTGTATAACCCACACCACCACCGACGCCACGTGCACGTCCAGGGTAATCAGGCTTCCCAGCAACCTCCGTCAATATATCATGTCGACCACTTGGCTTCCACGTTCCTGCTGCTACATCTTCTTGAAGTTTATCCTAGTACAGAAGCAATAGAATTTAATGTTAAAAAATAAACATGATTTAATAATATGATCATACATATACTAACTATAACTTACCAACTTCTCTTTTTTCTCGCGCATGCCCTCAGTATTACCAGGAAACACGATGTGACCATCCGCTGTTAATCCAGACCTTGCACAAAACCAAGTGACATGTCTTGGAATATCACCAGAATTGGTTGTGCTAGAGTTCGTTGAATCTACTTCTGAACCGGTAAGAAACTGATCTAATAATCCTTGCTCTTTCCATTTCGGTATGGAAAGAACATATCCTAAACGACCCATATGATGAGGATAGATATTCTGAAGTGCAGCTTGTTTATTCTTCTCGCTCAAAGCCTATTCAATGTTTCATAAATATTAAACAACTACTTAATTAAAATATTGAAAATTTTTAATTCTATGACATACCACAAACTCAGGAGTCATAGTCTTTGCCACGAAACTATCCCACTCTTCTTTGGTAAGTTGGTCTTTATACTTCTCAAAAGCTTCCCCACAATCCTTTCCCACTTGACGAGTCTTATTTATGAAACCTGATCGCAATCGATTTCTCCAATCTCGGTGCATTTTGCCCAACTTTTTCAATAATGGTTTTTTCATATTATCCTCCACAGCATAGTCATGCTGCATGATAACATCAAAAATAAAGTGTTAGCGTATATTATATAGTGAAATGAATATAAATATTTCGGCTAATAAAATTGGAGATTTTGTAGGTACCTGTATCTCTTTAAAGATTTGATCTTTATTCGCTTTTGAAACTTTCTTCCAACTATCAATGTTTATACTCACTCGGGAACGTACCATCTTCCCCAAGAATGATTTAAACTCTTCAGCCCACTCACCGATGACAACATCGGTATCAGCAAATTCAATTATTTTTCGTCCCTCGCTGTCTCTTTGACCGCCACCGCCGCCATGAGGATCTTGATTATGACCAGGCTCATCTCCGTCGTCGTCGCTCATAGTGTGTACCTGCAATTCATAAGCATGCATAATGATTAATAATAATTCAATATTAAATATAACTTACAATTCAGTATTAAATTACTTAACTCAAAACAACTTACAATTCCTCACTTAGCTTTTTCCGTTAACACTTCAATGCCATCATTATGGTGTGCGATAAAGGGAAGATCATCCTCATTGTGATCATATCTTATGTTTGTTTCACGCATCCCGATGGATAATGAGGGCATTTCCTCAACATAATCATCTTCCTCATCCTCAAAATTACATGTAATCTTTTTCTTGCCGGGTAAACAAATGGACCATCGTTCATTTGAAGGATCTTTTACATAAAACACTTGTTCGGCCTGTGATGCAAGTATGAACGGATCACCATGATGTCCTGATCGGTTAAAATCTACTAATGTGACTCCAGTGTCATCACATTGCACCCCTCGACGAATGTCAACCCATTGACACTTGAAAATGGCAAAAGATCGAGCTGTGTAATTTCACTCCCAAATGTCTTCTATTTTTCCATAGTAAGATAGCCTTGCATTTAATGGATTTTGATCATTTGCACTAGCATACTCAGTCGAAGATGCTATCACAGACACACCACTATTCTGTAACACTGACTTCTCATCTTGTCTGGTAGTATAAAAAGTGTAGCCATTGATATCATATGCTTCAAAAGAATCAATTGGTCGTTTAGGACCATAGGCCAACCACTTAATATCATCATCAACATCATAGTACACATTATCAGTGTCATTGAAAATTAAATCCCTAAACCAAGATGCAAAGGTTCGGTTGTGTTCTTTAGTCAACCAGATTTCACTTTTCAAAGGAAACTGGGATCTCAAGACATTCATATGTTGTTGCACATAAGGATGAACTACTTCAAGATGATGCAATACGAGAAGATGAGCCTTTCCCAACAAATCATTATCCACATTCTTTACTTGTTTCTTCCCAAGAGTGCCCTTTCCTTCAAGTGTGTCATCATGTCTAGACTTTGGTACTCCCAAAGATTCCACATTAGTTAAATATGGCGTACAAAATTCAATGACTTCTTCATCAATTAAACCTCTGATGATGCTACCTTCCGGTCGACAACGGTTTTTTACTTTTGATTTTAAATACCCCATGTGTCTCTCCATTCCGTACATGTACCTCAAAAACACCAGTCCACACATCTTTACCTCTCTGACTAAGTGCACAACAAGATGCACCATAATGTCAAACAATGATGGCGGAAAGTACATCTCGAGTTGACATAATGTAACAACTACTTCTGATTGCAAAGCATCAAGTTTCTCTGGATGAATTACTTTCTGGCATATGGAATTGAAGAAGAAACTCAACCTCATAATGGCATGCCGAACATGATCAGGTAGAAGACCTCTTAAAGCAACAGGTAACAAGTGTTGCATCAAAACATGATAGTCGTGAGACTTCAACCCAATCAATTTCATATCTTCTAGTGATACAAGATTTCTAATATTAGACGCATACCCTGATGGCACCTTTATCCCATGTAAGCACTCACAGAAACTTTTTTTCTCAGGCTTTGATAATGTATAGCTGCCTGGTGGAAGAAAAAATCCATTCTCACGTGGTTGTGGTGCTAATTCTTTCCGAATATTCAGATGTTCAACCATGTCTTTGCGAATATTTATGCCATCTTTTGACTTTCCAGGAACATTCAAAATAGTCGAAATGATGCTGTCACACACATTCTTTTCAATATGCATGAGATCAAGCCAGTGCCTTACTGATAGGTCTTTCCAATAAGGAAGCTCCCAAAATATAGATTTCTTTTTCCAAAGGCTCTGCTTGTTCCGCTTATAAGGTTTTCCAAAGATTGTGTTCAAATCTTTCACCCTATCATACACATCATGACCATTTAATGGTGGACGAGCTACTTCATGCTCAGTTTTTCCGTTAAATGCCTTCTTCAATGCACGATAACGATGAGTGCGCGGAAGAAACCTTCGATGATTCAAGTAAACATTTTTTTTCAGTTAGGTAATCGCAAATCAACTGTATCATCTTCACATATAGGACATGCTTTTGCACCTTTGACTGTGTAGCCTGAAAGATTGCCATATGCTGGAAAATCATTTATAGTGCAATACAACATAGCACGCATTTGAAAATAAGATTTGGTATGCATGTCATATGTTGTAACACCTTCAGTCCACAGCAGTTTGAGATCATCAATAAGCGGTGCAAGGTACACGTCAATATCATTACCCGGTTGTTTGGGTCCCGAGATAAGAAGAGACAACATGATGTATTTACGTTTCATGCACAACCATGAAGGCAAATTGTAAATAACCAATAGAACTGGCCAAGTGCTGTGTTGACTATTGAGTGTACCATATGGATTCATACCATCAGTGCATAGGCCAAGTCTCAAATTTCTGTCCTCTCTGCCGAATTCAGGATATTTCAAGTCAATTTGCCTCCATTGCGGAGAATCAGACACATGATGCAAGTACTCATCTTTTTTTCTACCCTGAGAATGCCAAACTAAATGTTTGGAATCTTTTGCATTCATGAATAACCTTTTAAATCTCGGAATAATGGGGAGATACCACAACTTTTGCAGGAATTTTGGAAAACTCAGTGTCACTAGCACTATTTGTACTCCTTTTTTCCTTATAGCGAGAAAGATGACATGTTGGACATTCATCAAGATTTTCGTACTCATTCTGGTACAACACACAATCATTGGGACAAGCGTGGAATTTCTCCCATTCAGCTCCCATAGGACACAGTAACTTTCTTGCCTTGTAAGTGGTATCAGGAAGTGTATTCCCTTCGGGCAACATCTCTTGAATTAATGTCAATAACTCTGTGAAACTGACATTACTCCATCCATGTTTCGCTTTCAAATGAAATAACTTCAAAACCGCAGACAGCTTCGTAAAAGTAGAGGTAGAATACAAAGGTATTCTGGCGGCATCAACCATACTTTCATATGATTTTGGTTTTTGTTAAAAATTATCATGTACATCCTTCAAAAACTCATCCATGTGATCATCATTGAAATCATCATCACCACTATTTTCATTATTCCAATTTAAGTTGGTGGTAGTATCGGGGGCTTTGCGCTTTAAATTACTAGCGGCGGCTCGCGGAACAACATTCTCACCATCCTGGAAAGTCTCTCCATGTAAAGTCCAAATGATGTAATTTTCTCTAAAGCCTCTCTCAAACAGATGTTGAAGTATAACATTGGTGTCACTCTCTCTTCTCAAGTTCCGACACTTTAAACAAGGACATAAAATTCCTTTATGTCCATGTTGTTTCTGGTGTGTAACGGCAGCTTTGATGAACCCATTCGCACCAATGAAAAACTCAGACGTGTCTCGACGTCCATACATCCAAGAACGATCCATTTTGAACGAAATTCTACATTTGTCCAATAATCATTTATCATATAATGTGCATATAAGCAATATCATATACTCCCTCCATAATGTTAACCAAGTAATAATGTTTTATCAGATGCAGCTGCACAAGGGGTACAACCAGATCAAATCATATTCACATATGTTGCAATGAAGCAGGAGCATATAAGACGCAGTTCTTTGGCGGATTTATTCCTTGACACGTATGGAATACCATGACCCCATTTTCCATTCATTTTAAAGGAGTATACCAGAAAACTAAATTATTTCTACTAGCTTCATAGTTTCTATGTGAATGAAAAGTTTCAACCAGAATACCAGAAAAAAGTTTCTATGTATACCATTCATTTTATTTTGTGAATGAAATGACCCCATTTTCCATTCATTTTAAAGGAGTATACCAGAAAACAAAATTATTTCTACTAGCTTCATAGTTTCTATGTGAATGAAAAGTTTCAACCAGAATAGCATGAAAATTATTTCTACTAGCTTCATAGCTTCATAGTATGGAATACCATGACCCCATTTTCCATTCATTTTAAAGGAGTATACCAGAAAAAAGTTTCTATGTGAGTGAAATGTATTCAACACTACTGAACTAACACGAACTAAAACCAACCAATCTTCCATCTCAGTGGTGGCCATTATTCATTCGGGTATAATCAAATAATTATTACTTCAATAATTACACATACTATAATCAAATAAAATACATTGATAACGCTGTCAAATAAACAATTAATAAATTATAATTAACTGTGAGCCGAAGCGGTCCAAAAAAAATCAAAGTACAATCAAATAAAAATGAAAAACATAATATATATGCCAAAAAAATTAACAAATAAACTCACTTTTATCAATGTAAGTATAATTCCCACTTGATTAAAAATTAAGGAATCCTAAACATGGGAACAATGGATATCATATGTAATATACATTAATCTGAAAACATTTAAACTAAAATTTAAACTAAAATCAAATAAAAGTGAAATCAACCAAAATATACCAAAAACTTAATTAAAAAATAAACTGACCTGCGATGCGGGCCGGAGAAGTCGAAGGGGAGCCGGAGAAGTCGACGGGGAGCCGGAGAAGTCGACGGCGTGCCGGAGTAGTTGCAGGCGTGCAGCGGCGGCGAGCGAGCCTGCGGCAGGTGTACGACGGCGGCGAGCTACTGGAGAAGTCGAATAACCCGATGGCAGGCGTACGGCGGCAAAGAGGAACAGCCGGCGGCGGTGCGGTCGAAAGGTCGCTTTGGTCGCGGGCGGTGCGGCTGCTATTTCCGTTTCCCAGGTGCTGTTTCCGTTTCCAGCTGTTGAAGACCGGCTAGGTTTGGACGACGACCCGCAGGGTATTTTTTTTGGGTTAAAATTGGAGGCGTTTTTTACACCAAAAGCGCCGCACGCAGGGTATTTTTTTTTTAAAATACGAAATATTTAGAGGCGCTTCTAGCCCAAGCGCCGCACGTGTGGCCCAATTCCATTTAAAACCGGGGAACTTAGAGGCGCTTCTACCCAAGCGCCGCACGCGTGGCCCAATTCCATTTAAAACCGGGGACCTTAGAGGCGCTTCTACCCAAGCGC